GTGGGCTTAGCCACTGCTTAACAAATTTACTAGATAAACCTCCATGATTCATACAAACAGCACTCAAGTGGCTAACTACCATATTGGCAGGGAACTGACTAATGTTACTTGAACAAAGAAAGAACCCACTTGAATAATGAATTAGGTTTTGGCAGATCAGTGGAGAGATGACTGACAGCCCACGGCAGTCCATGTCACAACTCCAAAACAAGAGCTGAGGAACAGCAAGGGAGGGTGCCAGGAGGAACCAGCAGCTTTTCAGCATCATTTGCCCATTGCTCAATATGGGAGATTTTAGAACTGGCTATGGCTCAGGTCAGAGCAACTCACCCGGTTTCAGTAGGAAAGAGCATGTCCTATTCTCTCCATTTAGTAAAATTAAAAGCAGAGCAGGGTATCAAGAAGAACCCACCCACGCTCTCCTTCATCAGCTCTCCCCTGAACAATGACAACTCGGGGTCAAAATGACAGCAATCACGTCTGTTTTCTTTTCCAACCTGCAAATCATGATCCTATTTTTAAGATGAAAACAAGAAGTCAGCATATCAAGCCATGAAATTAGAAACTGAGTTTTGGAAAGAGCTCGCTAGAAATTGCTCCGATAGCTGGCAGAAGTGACCAATTTTCCAGAGAAGGCATCCTGTACAATCACAACAACAAATTCTTCTGCTCATATACAAAGGCAATTTGAATTAACAAGTCTGTCTTCACCATAATTTCAAAGCAGTCATTGAAAAATAATATCTGCACCACAACTACCTACCCACAAATCTGAAAGTAAATAGAAGCCAAAGCTACCTAGGTATAGGAGATAAAAGTATCTCCCTAAAGCAAGGACAACAAAGCACCCTTTCTTAGCCATTCTGGAGACTGATAGATGACTAAGAGATTCTTCAGGGGCTTTCACATCTCAAGAAACCATGAAATATTCAAGGTTCATTGATACTCCTGCCTTCAGTATCTTCTTCTGACCTTCTACTGCAGCAACGATCACCAGAGAATTTCAGTGACCAGTGGAATATACTGGATTTCTGCTACTGCTTAGATGAAGTACATGCTGGATTGGGCCCATTCAGCCCACATAAACTCATATAAATGGCATATTTATGGGACTAGACTGACTCTGCAATCTGCTCTATGTCATTCAGGGCACTCTTGTTGTTGCACATAGCCAGCGGCAAACCAACTGCTCCAGGCTACACAAGAAGCTTGCAGAAGTATATCAGAGACCTTTGGAGCTGGCCAGTTTTCTCCCAGCAGAAGCACAAGAGGGAAGAAGGCACGCGGCAGTACACAAACTCGTGTTGTTTAAACGGCCACACTTGCTTCTTCAGAAAACCCCACCTCTCCCGAATTCTGCAAGCTGTTTCACCCTGCCGTCTTGCCACCTTCCCCAACACGCCTTTTTCCTTTTACAGACTTTCTTGCTCACTGAAGTCCTGGCTTTGCTGAGTTGCAAGATAGAACTGGTGTACAAACCACAAAAATCTTTCTTCCCTAATACATTCCTTTTTCTTTGAAAGGCACAAACCCGGTTAATTTTACATCTTCTTTGACGGCTGTGCTGCAGAAGCCTAAATCCTGCCTGTGACCTGAGCCAGAGCAACATGCAGCAGCAGAGACTGAGTTTCTTGCTGGAGGCTGTGAGCTGAGAGGAGATAATAGGAGATTTAAAAGAAAGGTCCTTCCTGAATGATAAGCAGTTCCAGGTCCATTCAAAAGATTTGTCAGACCTACACATTTGTTCTGCTCAGTGCAGGGGGGGATGAAATGACCTACATCAATACAAAGAGAGCTACAAAAGTCAGATCTTAATGCATATTCAGCAACTCTAGGCAGAAATGCAGAATAGGTATTTAAACAAAAACGCCTGTAAAAACCTTGCTCCCTTGTCATAGGATGCTTTATAGTTGCTATTTTTAGCTTCTCAAGTGTCAAGAAGCAACAGAAAAGATATTGCTGAACAGCACTGGACACCAAAAAAAAAGCAAGTGAGGTAGAACTAAATCTGAAGTAAATTCCACAAGATGAGGTTAAGTTATTCAAGCTCTCTTTCCTACAAGACAGGTGATGTATTTCAGTCTAAATATCCCACCCAACTCTGTCCTCAGTGAACAACCAAGTGACAAACTGCCAGTCAAACTGAAAAGCATCCTTGTTCTTCTCAGTTTCCACTGTCTCACATCGAGTAATGCTTTATCAGCAGCTACAGAATCTTAATTTAGCTATTTTTAACAAGTACACCATTTTGCAATTCTGCCCACCAGAAGGATTTGCAAACCTCTCTAAACACTCCTTCCTAGGTCCTGATAAATTTGCCAGCTTGAATAGGAAACTTCGGGCTTGCAGAACGAGTCGCTGCTAGCTGACAACGCCAGGAAGATTTTCTTTCCTATCTGCAGTTTTCATGAGTAGGCAGCTGGGATTGTGATGAATTACTATCTCCGATTCCAGTGCTAAGTTTAAGACATTTATTTGGCACAGTCTGTTAGAAAAGATGCTGCCAATATCAACTATTGGTATTAGCAAACTTCTCTGGGAAAACTACCAAAGGTATTTCATAGTCTCTCTCTGCTTGTAACAGGAGTCAGTTCAGGGACCAGGGCTTTTTACTGATTGAACTGTAACTGAATTTTGCTGAACGTTTATCTCTAAAGTCTGTTTCAAAAGAAAAACTGAAATATCTTGTTTTGAAAAAAAACTCACATGAATAATTTTCAGTTCTTAGTTACACCTCTTCTTGGGGCAGCCAAATCCTTTTCCTGAACTCACTGGCCACTTTGCCCGAGAAACTGCATTTTCCATCCGCTCTTTATTGTCCCTTCCTATCCCACTTTGGTGTTCAACTGTCTTTTTTCAGCAGCTGGCACTACAAAGAACATTTATAGAATCTCCTATAGCTCTGATCTCTCTGCAGAAATATTGCAAGTATAAAGCCCATGACCAGTATCTATATGGAAGTTGGTGTATTTTCTAATCAGTATTCAACCCAAGAAACAACTACTTTAGAATTCAGTCATCATACTGATGTGCATGAATTGAAAATCCTCAAATCTTCATTAATATCTTTGTAAAAGATTGAACCATTTGATCGTAACTGAACATTTTCACACTAGCATATAACTTAAAAAGGTTTCTTTTGTCTAGAGCCTTCCTGTGTGCCACTACACTCTTCACTCCTCTCACAAGCGAAGCCACATTTATTTTGATGGCATTATTTTCACGCGGTAAGCAACATAACTGTCTTTTTCTTATGCTTCTTGAATTTTAGATTCTACTCTTGACTTTTCCCAAAAGCCTACAAATCTACTTATGGTTTTGCAACTACTAAGCTTACAGGTACCACTTACAAATTTGACACGTAGATTTAGCAATTTCATAGGTAACATTTCTGAAAACTATTAATTTCAGCCGGTGGCACATCCATAGGTTGTTGTAAATGTCAACTCTGATACTGCTATGTGCATTCCCCATCTTTAACATGCGTTTCCAGGTTGAAAAAGCAAGAATACAATCCACCCAGAACAAATACAAAGCTGGTTACAAGTTCCACTTCCTTTTCACTTACTGAGGCCATGTATCTATTTTTTTATTACTATTATTATTGTCATTATTCATTATGCTTTGTGGCTCTCATCCTACCCTAAATCATCTACCATGACAACTTAGTTCCTTCTGTGTGACCTTCCTCTGCAGTAACAGAAGTCCCCACAAAAGACACAGGAAGTAAATACTGCAATACTTGAAGTGCTCTATATCCACTTCATGCTCCAAATCCCCAACCGTCAGTAAATACCACAAAGCAATTTCCACAAATGACTAATCAGCACCTATAGGTTTTCTAAGGCTTAGCTGCAACAGCTCATTAATGCTCTAAGCTCATGGATTTGGTTTTTACGGATTTCAAAATGTTTTGAAACCCACAAACTCACCACGTAAAGATGCTGTTCAGCAGAAATTTCACTGCATCACACTGCAAGCAGAGGCCTAAAACTGCAGCGTTGTTTTAAAAAAATATTTCAAAATCTCCCAACAGCCTTAATCTTCTGAAGATCTAAAAAGACTGTAGCAAGAAGACTTCCTTTTTATTGTTCAGTATTTCTCTGAGATGAGCCCAAAGTGTTAGCTGGGATAATTATCAGAGAGATTATGCAGATCTTATTTTCAAAAGGTTTTGTTTGCTCTTTTGTTACATAATTGCTCAGTGTTTGTACGCAACTCAGAAAACAGAAAGCATCAGAGAAATACCAAGAATTATTTATTTAACAGAAAAATAATTCTCCCGACTGATATTAACATTTTAGCAGTCTTTACTATATTTTGAAGATTTCTGTAACCTGGAGAGCTGCTCAGTGATCTACCCTAGGCAGCGCATGAGATGAGAAATGTGCCTTACCACTAGAGTATTTCAGAGGAGCTGCAAAACAGCAGGAAGCATAGAAATGGTAAAATATGGTCTCTTATGATTTCCTTCACTTCTAGCTTTGCTTGTGACGAAAGTCATCATATTCAGAGATGAAATCAGGACTTGCTATAAGTCAAACCAGCACCATAAATTACACAATCACATTATGGAATCACTAAGTGTTTCCAGAACTGGCTAAAACCAACACTTCCAAGCCTGTGCAAGTTTATAAACAAAACTCAGTCAGACTACCTGAATATACGTTGTAACTTTTAACCCATTTGCAGCCAAGATCTTTCAGACACCATCAAAGTCAGCTTTAAAGTGCAAAGACCCTGAACTCAAACTGAAATTGTCATCAGGCACACTTACGTACATACTAAACTTAGTCTCACAAACAACTTAAAAGTCACAGGAACTACACAATTTCATTTCCTTTTTTCAGTAATTGCAAGTTCAATATATGATTATTAACAGGTACTTTGTGGTTTTTTAGGATGTCAAGAAAGCTTACAGCAAGTGTGCTATGCAAACATCATACTAGCCTTACAACTACCTTTCGCTTAAACATAATAATAAAAAGAATTCTACTTACAGCCAACCATCATCATGGCCACCGAGAAAATTTTCTCTCCGTCAGTGGTTGGTGCTATGTTTCCAAATCCTATTGTTGTAAGGCTTGTCATGGTAAAGTAGAGAGAGGATATGTACAAGGAGTCTTTACTGGGTCCACCTTCCCATTGCCCTGAGCCAGTGGTGTTGTATCGATACGGTGTCCCGATACTCAGTGCCAACTGGTAGAGCCAGCTATCTGTTTTGATTGTATTAGTGATTTCGTCTATAACTTCATAGTCCCCAATGCTGTACCATATGCAGGCTAGCCAGTGGGCCACCAGTCCAAATACACACACCAACAGTACCAGTACAGCAGCACCATATTCCAGATAATGGTCCAACTTCCTGGCAACTCGACCGAGTCGTAGAAGGCGCACCACTTTTAAGGAACTGAAGAGGCTACTGATCCCCTAGGAAAAAAAAAAAAATCATTAATTCAACTGAAATATCCTGCTGGTTAAAACAGAAGGCTGCACAGCAACTCCTGAATATGCTTTAAATCTTCCTTTACAATTTTTTCATGCCCCAATGGAATACAAGATCAAACCCTCCTCCTCCTCCAGTACTTTTGTCCTCATCAGGATAAATCAAGTTTGGCATTTATTAGGGGGATAAATTGCTCAAGCTCAGTCTTTCCAAGCAGCAGAGCAGTTCTCTGGTATCCAAAGTGAGAAAAGGCACATTTATTATAAAAAAGGAGTGATTCAGTGCTTTGCCAGTTTGAAGTAAACGGGAGACTTTGCTTTGACCTCTCGGAGGTCAAATGTGGTGGAGGAGCAGTCACAGATGGAGTTACACCATCTAAGTCGAGTCTTCCTGAAGCTTCTCAGAGAACAGTATTCTGTTAAATCCAGGCAGAGGATTGCTATTCTGCCCAAAATGGGGGTCCATCTACTTCAGCAACCCTAAGCATTGAAAGATGCTCAACAGAAACATGAGAAAGGAATTATAACACGGAACTAAGAGAAATCTGCCTATTGTTCCTCCCATCCAACTGGGCAGCTTCCTCTAGTCCAACAGTCTCCACCTCATGTTATCCTTCACTGCAGCTAAGATAACTCTGAATATTTCGCTATTTATAAGAAATCTCACTGACTGAATATGAAACTAAGAACCATGGCCATACCTTTCTGGATGAGGGTAATAGAGATGACAAGGCACTGGCAAGAAGTAACCACATGCCTTTGCATATAGGGTTAATTTCCTTTCCACTCAACAGACATTGGATATATTTTCCTAAAGCAAGTATTTGTGTGGTGTGTTTTTTTACCTACACAAGATAAATGAAGTACAAGTAAAGGGAAGTACAAATATTTAGGGAACAGGAGCACAGGGACCATCAAAAAGTTAATAAAAACATCTGAGAGGGAACAAGAAATGTGTATGTCCTCCTCAATGCACAAATGGTTTGCAATGTATTTTAATAGAGTTTATAGATGCAGAAAGAGAAGAAAAATATGTTCCTGATCTATTGCAATCCCATGATATACCTAACTTTTGCATTTAATTAATTAGTGCCTCAAAATAGAAGGTTTGTAAAGGAAGGTTTCTAATATAAAACATTCCGAAGCTGAAGACATTTAATTTAAAGTAGAAATTAAGACATAGAAAGCAATGAAGCAAACATTCCTAGTTACTGTGCCAAGATTAAATTGCCCTTTTCTATGCATCATTATCAAATCAGTCTAGTCAAAACACTGACTAATTATATTATCAAACAGCAAAAGACTGGAGTTTCTGGAGTTTTCCATACCAGAAAAACATTAATCTCTTTTGCACCTCTGTTTCTTTCCACAACTAACATCTGAAGGGTAACATACATGTGATATTTCTAGATGTAATCTATTCAACAAAGTTCTTGTATGCTTTTCAAATCCTGCTGGAATTTGTTTCAGATCCCCAAATCCTTAATAAATTGAAGTTCTGTATTTGCATTCAAGCTCTCACGATGACTAATACCATGGAGAGAAGTGGAATTTTCCCATTTTGATTTCTGTATTTTGCATTTACACAAGACACAGATCCAGTTTATCACTCTTATTTCCATCTAAACCTATATCTACTTATTCGCTTTGGAATGTACACCCGTCAGGCACCCTGAACTGCCAACTTGTCCAAGAAACTGGTAAGTCCCTTACAACGTTCTTACACAATGGACTGGGGCCAACGGACTACTGAATGAGGGTTACACTCACTGAAATAAAACCTAAATTAAAAGAAAGAAAACTGCAGAGTAGTTTAAAATTGTATTTCGCAAAAATAATCTGCAGTGTGCTTCTGTAAATTAACAATTTGCTGTGAAATCAGAGGGAGAAAACGGCAGGGTGGGGGTTTTTTGTAGGCTCATGTCCTGTTGTGTTGGTCGAGGCTATATGAATTGCTTCAATTTTACTTAAAGGGAACTGTTCCCTAGCAAGATTAAGGCTAGGGAAGGAGTTAGAGACCTTGAATCGAAACTGGGGAGTCCCCTTTTTGCACTCAGCAGTTTAAGTTCATCCGAGTGGCAAGGGTTACACAGCACTTTCTGCTGCACAAATCCAAACCAAGGGTCAACCCTTGATCAGGAGAATTTACAGTCTGACACTGCATCCTCCAGTCACCTTCTCTCTCTAACTTTTGTGGACAGTTTTGCTGTTGTACACCTAATATAAACATACAGCATTTAATTCAAAGTCTGGGAGAAAGTTTGTGCTGCGATTCTTTTTTTTTTTCCTAAGCAAAGATAACAATCACATCTCTTACGTACAAAATGAAAAGTGAAAAGTTTCATTTTAGCTGACATTGAAATATATTCTTTCCAAAGAGTAATTAATTTAAGTAAGTTTCACTGTAAATCTTAAAGCCAGCTCAGTCTGACCCATTACTCTTAGGCAAAAATAGCAGAGATAAATTTATTGAACATTCACATTTCACGTATAATCTTGCAAAATATAAAGGCAATATTGTAATATTTAGAAGCCTCTTCCTTAAAGCACTACCTAGGAAAGAGCAAATAAACACATACTAGACTAAAATGTCCTGCATTGCACTGTTCAACTACTGGGTTGGTTCAAGCTTGTACCTTAAAAAATCACTGGACAGTAAATGCACAATTGTTAACACACAAAGTTCTGCCTAAGTTTCAACAACAAATCTCTTTGGTGGACATTATGTGAAAGACTAATTGCCTTGAGTTAAGTTTGGGCTACTAAAAAATTCAGGGGTCTAAATTCAACTGATTGTCGGCCACCTTTAATTTCATTTTTCTTTTAACTGTATTTATGCTCCATAATGAATATTTTGGAAACTCTTCAACTGCGGACAAACCTCAGCACTCATGAAGCAGAGAGGTGATTATAACCCTGAGTGGAGCATGTAATCCCATTTGGCACTAGTATTGTGTAAATAACACACATTTTTGATACTGAAAAACCAACCTTCTGGGAGAAGCATTTGTCACTCTATTGCTGTATTAAGTCAGTTTGGCAAATTGCCTGTAATATCTGCTGGTCTGTGTTCTGTCAGTGAGGATATCTCTATGTTATGAACCACCCAATCCTATCGCTTAAGGTTTTGATTAATGTATTTTATCATGTCTTAATCAGATAAGGACATTCAGCTTGCTCATCTGCAATTATCTCAGCTGTAGAAATCCTTTAACTGAAAAGCCACCTACTTGAGAATTCCATTTTGTGTATCAAGTTTGGAATCAAATTCCTATCACATCATTGACTTAAACAATCATAAATTACAGGAGACTTTCCCAGTGACCTCTAAGGCCATTAGATCAGGACAGGCCACAAGCAGTAGCTCTGAACCAGCCCTTTTTATACCACCATTTCTAGTTAGCCGACAGCTGAAGCCACCACAGAGGATATCAAGAATGTCAAATTTATCCAGAAGAACATTTCTGAGACAAGGATGTTCAACTTTGGAATTAAACTAGGCATGCATGATTGAACAAACCTCAAGTTTATTGACACAAGCACCTTGCACAGGCTCTATTTTCAAATCCCCCTGATATTCTAAGAAAGGAAATTCAGTTTGATAGTGGAGGCACAAGTGATGACAGCACTCAGTCTGAAATGAGGAAGGACAACTCCTTCCTATTAAAATTACCTGAACCTTGCCATTTCAAATCCTAGATGTTACCACATTGTCAAACCTCAGTCCTCCAGGATGAAAGAAGTGTCTGGGTTGTGTGTTTGCATCTGGAGAAACTTTCCCAGCCACATGGCTGAGAAAGATGTTTCCTGCAATTAGGAATAGACTTCTTGCACCTCGAACAAGAACAGGGAGCTAAGAGCTCTTACGCTTCATGAATCCCTGATAAGCCAGGCAATAGAAAGGATGAAGCTGTCAAAGTCATGTTACACAGCAGTCAAGAGCCAAACGTGTAAGAGGATAAAGGGAACATTGTCATCAAAGGATAATGAAGGTTAACAAGTGCAGGAAATCATTTAAGTTAATATGAACGCCAGAGATGTCCTCCTAAACCAGTAAAGAGAGCACAGAGTATGTTCAGCACTAAAGGAGCAACAGAATAGCAGAGCTGCATCTTTGTAAAAGAGGTAAAAGACTTAATCAGCTGGTTACTTGCTAATCTAATAGGTCTCTTCTACAGTAGGAAATTATTGCCTAAATATTTTAAAAAGCAAAATAAAAGCAAAACCAGCCATTAGTTTCTACCATCTAAATATACTAAAATCTGCTTGAACCTCAAAATTAAATTCCAGTATGCTGAAATGCTAAATTTGTGCTGCCTTTTTTTTTTTTTTTCCCCTATTAGGGAACAATGTGTTTTTACCTCTAGGCACTTTTTTGATTAGATTTCACTCCATGATTTTTTATTTATTTGTTGTTAGCTGTGGGCACATATGCAACAGCAACAAAAAAATGAAACATGCATTTTAAATGTGTTCTAAAACTGAAATCCTCCTGTCCCTGAAAATGGGAATTGGTCCTGCATCATTGAACAGAAAACACTGTCTTGGAAAAGGTCAGAGGGAAAAGGGAAAAAAAAAAAAAAGATATGAGATTTTCACTGTGTTTTGATGTTCAGCACATTGTGGTTTTGAAGAATTTATGGAGTCGGCAAGAATCAGCACTGGGAACCTTTCTATGAAATGCTGTAGGGCATGTTGCCACTGCAGTCAAAGGTGTGACTGCAGTACATACGGACCTTCTTAAGCTACATTTAAGCTAAAATGCTTAGAGATCCTAGGCGCAAGCAATTACAGCAACCTGCGTTCAGCAAAACTAGCCATTAAAGTGATCAAATCCTCTGATGACTCTGCAGCCCAGGCTGAGCTCTTTATCTCTGTGCAAGAGCAGAATGGTTTCACATAAATTGAGCTCGAGCACAAGCCACAGCCTACACCATGACTGAGCTCTAACCACTCTCCTGGAGTGAGATTCATGTCACATAATG